ATAAATGTTTTCATGTCATCGAAAATGCTCACCGACATGGCTGTCACTTGATTCTCCGGTGTCGGGGTAGCGTCGCTATCAGTCGACGATTTTGACATCGTTGATGTTTGATCCACTGAACTAACTTGCTGAACAGCTTGCTCTTTGGCCTTTTTTTAGATTGGCCATTTAAGTTACGATTTTGATTGATTTTGCTCTCGAGGTTGTTATGTGCGACCTATCGCCATGAGCGACACCTGTACTGACAGCGGAAGTGGTTATTGTGTTGGTTCCCCGGAGCACCTTGCCTAACCATGGCTAGGCTAAGGGTAAGGCCTTCCTCTTCATCTCATGGACCAAGGCTTATATACCCATGTCACACCACACGGATTAAGTCATAAATATGAACAAGAGTAATTAATGAGAAGTGACCAACCACAAATGTGAGAGGTTGCTACTTTTACTTCAAGCGGTGTGTATGGTGACGTATGCTGAAGGCTGGATTAGCAGTACAGCACTGCTTTCCTCCACCAAAAATTGGTTTACCGAAACTTGCAATGAATCGTTACACAGCTGGTTCAGGTTGGACGGCAGTTAATGCATAAAACAATGGCATGAAGAGTAACAATGGGGCTTAACGTCTTGTAAGTAATCATGGTTAATGTAGTGAGACATATACATGTCAACCTTCACTAACTAACTGCCACTTACACACAATCCCTACATTCAATCCCTTTGTGAGTGAACTCCGGACCTGTCCACCTACACACAGTCCCAGGCTCTGTTTGAGTGAGTGAACTCCGGACCTTGTCACCCACACACAGTTCCAGGCTCATTTGAGTGAGTGAACTCCGGACCTTGCCATCCACACACAGTCCCAGGCCCTATTTGAGTGAGTGAACTCCGGACCTTGCCACCCACACACAGTCCCAGGCCCTGTTTGAGTGAGTGAACTCCGGACCTTGCCACCCACACACAGTCCCAGGCCCTATTTGAGTGGGTGAACTCCGGACCTTGCCACCCACACACAGTCCCAGGCCCTGTTTTAGTGAGTGAACCCCGGACCTTGCCACCCACACACAGTCCCAGGCCCTGTTTTAGTGAGTGAACTCCGGACCTTGCCATCCACACACAGTCCCAGGCCCTATTTGAGTGAGTGAACTCCGGACCTTGCCACCCACACACAGTCCCAGGCCCTGTTTGAGTGAGTGAACTCCGGACCTTGCCATCCACACACAGTCCCAGGCCCTGTTTGAGTGAGTGAACTCCGGACCTTGCCATCCACACACAGTCCCAGGCCCTATTTGAGTGAGTGAACCCCGGACCTTGCCACCCACACACAGTCCCCGGCCCTATTTGAGTGAGTGAACTCCGGACCTTGTCACCCACACACAGTCCCAAGCCCTATTTGAGTGAGTGCACTATTTCATAACATAGTAGTAAATAGTTTCATCCCCCAAAACATCAACAAGTGACATCAACGATTTTCAGTGTGTTCACAAAGGCCGATTTCGTGTCAGAACCCGATTTACCATCAACTCTAGAGTCTTCATGTGGTCTTCGCCTGTAACCTAAGGAGAGAATTCAGGTATTGCCTGGATTTATGTGTAACAATGACACATTCTGTTGTGATTGGATTCATTCATGTCGTTTTATACACATTATCATCATCTCATCATGTTTCAAATATTTCAATTCAAACAAAATACATGCAACAATAACGTTTGTCCTTGAGTAATTCTTCAGGGCTTGTCACAAACTACTTAATACATAGTGTGCATTCTCTTAATATTCAATAACTAACTAATATCAAATCGGCCCAGGCTCAGTTTTTCAAGGAGAGGCTATCTGAACGACCACTGCATCTGTAAATATGAAATGTAGAATATGCAATCACTAGTTAACGCCACGTGTGGATTCTTTCAGCCTACGTGACAGGTACATCTAAGAGTGTGTGTGTGTGTGTGTGTGTGTGTGTGTGTGTGTGTGTGTGTGCGTGCGTGCTTGCGTGCGTGCGTGCTTGCGTGCGTGCGTGCGTGCGTGGTTGCTTCTCATTTTACGATTCCTTGTTAACTGTCAGCAATGGCGAGCGTGTGTCGCGTTCGTATACTACGTTTTCTGCGATACCTCATAGCACCTTTAAATGTTACATGGATGCAATGCTTGGAATTGAGGTAAATGCTGAAGGCGCATATTTTAATCCACTTGCCGAAGGATACGTACCCCTGAACATGGAAATTGTTTGTGTTTGATAAACATGAAGGCTTTTTCAGATATGTAGTTAAGGTATTTAAAAACATTAAATACTAATAATTTACGTTTACGCAACCATATTGACACGGTTATTTTTGTCCATGTATACATGGAGGCCTCTATAGTACTGGGGTTTTGCTCTTCGTTTAATAAGTGCGCTTAGGAACGGTTATCTGCTTTGTTTGGCATTGCTTCATCATGATGTGAAAGGTATATACGTGATTACACACCAGGGTTTATCCCAATCCCCACTGGAGGCCGCTCTGTTTAAAGATTACAAACTCTACAATCATTGTGGTCATAGATGAGATTTGTGTTCACACGGGACTCAAGCAAGCCCTTACTTGAAATGTCATAGATAATAAATGACGCAAACTTCACATCAAATGTCGAATCTCACCGTGTAAATGTCATTGCATTAATAGTTCTGATTACATAATCAGACATTTGTAAATGGTATACAACGGATTATTTAGTCCCGTTAATCAAATACTGAAAAGATGCATTAGTTTCCGAACTGTATAAGTAATTATATTCAAAATCGATCTCACTAATCTACTGACCAGAATGTCACCATTGAAATTCCATATACGCACGACAACACACACACACCCCACCTCACCCCCTTCCCCTCACATAAACACACACACACGCAAGCGCGCGCGAAGCTGAATCTTGATGTGTGCCTCCATGGTGGCTTGATTATTACCAAAAGCGACAAAATCAAACTCACTCAATCTTCGGCGTTACGTGCGAACAACTAGGCTAGCCCAGGACCGACAGAGACCATCTGAGATTCGTGTCTTGGCGGGTGCGACAAATAACACAAGCAAATATAGGTGTATGCATGTGAATATTTATCAATTAAAAGCATTACAAGCATGTCAAGCATCAACATTTTCGCACATCATCTGATTTAGACCTCAACAATTCAGGTCGTAACAATATCACAGACTCTGCCTCAACTAACAGGCGGCATGATCAAAGAAGAATCCTCAATACAATAACAAGGGAATGACACTTAGAAGTGATACACATACGAGAGAGAGAGAGAGAGAGAGAAGAGAGAGAGAGAGAGAGAGAGAGAGAGAGAGAGAGAGAGAGAGAGAGAGAGAGAGAGAGAGAGAGTTCACATCCATAAATTCTCTGTATCAACAATAACGTTCTCCTGATGGCCAAGTCTCACATACAGATGCTGGGGTACACGTTCTGCAATCTGTCACTGGGAAATGTTCAGCTGTCTATAACGAGGAAAACTTAATCGGGGACAGATTCATATGATGACGTCGACTGTGCATGCTCTGTTTCTTCCCAGCTTTCAATGATTTTGTTTTTACCCGGAAGTGACTTAGTTCTTTCGCGTAGTCCTGGTGCAGCATGGGAAGGTAGTTTCTTGGTTGACATTGAACCTGCAAATATATTTGAGTGAGTGAACTTTACCACGCATCAACAGTTGGCGGTTCATTGTTGTTTGTTGTTGAACCGATCTTACGTACGTACAGAGTCATCACGTCTCTCAATAACTGCCCCTTTCTGTTTGTGGTAAATCTGATTGCCGAAGAACATCCTTGCATTGTAGGTTATTATAATGATATCTGCACCTGATGCCACCAAAAAAAAGCTCCTAAAATGCTTCTGTTGTTTTACACATATAATCAAATGAACCATGTTACCTGATGTTGTTCATAGAAGGCCTTGTATCCGCCATCCAGCAGATACACTTCCGGGTAGAAGAGGAACGGGTAGCGGTCACTGTTCAGCATCCGGTCTAAGTTTCTCAGATGACGTAATCTAAAATAAAACAGACCCTATAACAAACAACAAAAGGAAATTCATATAATCCTATTTTCATAAATGGGTCATTTGTTTTACCCCTGTTTCATACCCGACTTCCTCACCAACGAGGTGACGTGAAAAGGAGTTTTAACGTCGCATTCATGGTTACTTAATAGCGACGTTCTCGCACGTGTGTGAGTCGGGACCTATTGCACCAGCTCACTGAGATACCATGCCGCAGTTAACATGGATACCGACAGTTAACATGGATACAGACTCCAAACCGGTCTGGCAGGGTAACAACAAGTGCCATCTTTAACCGACCTTCAGGTGTCTTCACTACGCCAGGGAGGTTGGTCCTTACAGACGGGGCTGACTGTATTGTATGACATGAAGCAATAATAGTTCAAGTGATACAGAATCATGCTTACAGTTTTGGCCCTCTCTCTGATGAGAATTCACAATGGAAGACGAGGATATTCTGTTGGAAGCACTCTCCCCCACGAAGACTGGTGACTAAATCCGTGATCAGGGCCTCGTTGTGAAGGTTCACTGATCCCTGGAGAACAAATATGGTGAACAGGGTTATTCGAGTAAATGCATCAGATTGTCTCCCATGACAAGCGTTTAAGTCAAATTTCTTTCTTGTGAAAAATAAATGACAGTAGCTTTCAGTATACACTCGTACCTCAATATGTCCGCCTTCATATTCATACGGGTACCGACAGTCAATGATCTGGTACCCGGAGATGACGTCATCGAACTTTCCCTCCAGAAGTTGACTGACTGTGAGTGGAGACACTGACTTAAGATCCTTGTGTCTGCCTGTTATGGTCGGAAGGTTGCATATCTGAAACACAATACACAGCAACTTTATTAGTGAGTGATTTGGGTTTAACGCTGCTTTTAGCAGTATTCCAGTTATATCGCGGCGTGTAAGTTTATTGTGGGAGGAAAGCCTGAAGTGATGCAGGTCTCAGACGTTTACCACTTCGGTGAAACCCACGAGCACGCGTATGGTGCAGACAAACCTAGAAACATAATCGGGGAGAAGCGGGATTCGAACCCACAAGCATAAGTTTCTGGCGTGTCCAAGGGACGCAACTCTGCACAGCGATTTGCGGCGCCTTAGACGACTGGGCCACCCGTGACCCCGCAACCTTATTAAATGCACCTTTAATGCAGCTCTGAATTATATTCAAATTAATTTAGTAGACGTTTTTCATGGAGCAGATGGTGTCATGGTTACCATCAACTAACCTTTGACCCGTCACCAATCAGATCATCTAAATTCTCCATCCGGTCAACAGCTGTTTTCATTGTCTCTGATGTCACTTCCGCCTTGGCTGATTTACTTTCCCCGAATGAAACTTCATTGAATATATCGTCGTCCGACGTGTTTCCTGAAAGGATGCATTTCCCAAACCCATGGTTGCAACTTGTTGGAAGGTGTGCCCCGCGAACTGGTGATGTCTGAAACAGGATTATGAACATCAGTAAGAAACATGGGCTCCAGATGGGAATTTCCAGGCATAAAATAAGTTGCTCGTTTAGTAAGTGTATTTCTGTCAATGTAACGGAAAACATATAAACAAATAAACAAACCTCATTGTCACTCTCTTGTGACTCAAAACCGCTGTCACGTGAATCATCGAAAGTGAGGCTCGGTGACACCATGATGTCAGTGATGCTCTCGTCCGAGACTTGCGTCTGTGACGTCGCGTCAACTTCAATTGCTGGTGCAAACTGAAAAAAGTACAATAATAGCATGATAAACAAGCCTCTTTCGTAATCATTATTAGTTGTCGAGAGGGAGTTGATGAAAGAATGCTGAAGTCATTGAGATCATTAACATTTAAAAAACGTCCATGTATTATTGTATTCTTTGATTCTCATTCTTACCGTCAGTTTCCTTCTGGTCATGGTGAGCAAAGAGTGCTGAGGAAGATTCTGTAAGGATAAAAGGTGTTTATGTTTCCCTTGATGGCAAGACTTAAGTTGAGGAAGTGATGCTGGTCTTAAGCGTAGGCTACATATATACCTGCTTAAACCAACATGTTTTCCCAACAATCACAACACTCGTTGATCGACTGAACATGTTTCTGCAACCACAAATTATTCCTATGTGAACAACTAACCAAGAACAACACTGACGCATTAGAGCTGGACAATTAGCTGCCTCGCTTGGTGTGAACACGGTTGTGCTCCTGGCGAATTCATCCTATGGTTGGGAGGCAGATTACTCGTGTTAATCTCCCAACGACATCACATGCACCGACACGTGTGTGTGTGTGGCGCCGGGCTAGACTGTCAACTTTCAAAGCAATGTTACAGTTGGCCTTTATCCCCTTTACCACCGTCATGCCGACCCAGGGACTGACATCGACACACTGCAAGCGCGTGAGCATGCTTTTATCAAGATTGACCATCTCAACACCAAAATGCGAACGATATTGACTGTCATTGAAATCGGCCTCTTTAGGTGTTCGTACAGTTCAACTGTCTGAGCAGCAATTTGCAAATGCAGCTGTTACCATCAATCAATTTAATTAACAATTATGTCAGTCAACGATAACGTTAATGTCATTTAAATTAATATCTAATACGTCGATCAACGAATTCTCTTAATGTCATTTAAGTGAACCTAAATTTCCATCAATGAATACCTTTTATGACATTTCATTTCAGTTGTGCCCATCAGTAAATGTCATCACAATATAACGAATGTATGTCTTCGTATTTTTCATTTGTGTGCGTCATGTGTAACCTTAAATAACAGTACTCTTGAAAAAGAGAACCTGTGAATATATAATTCCAGTAAAAAATATAGATGTTCCCTGGTTAAGCCTATCGTTAATTTTAATCCTCAGGCCAAGCTGGTCGACCAGAATCGCTGTTTTTAGACCCAAGCTGGTCGAAAGTCTGCCTGGCGCTAAATATCCCATAGATGAACATGAATGATATTGGATTATTAGCAGTAGGCGTGTGTTTCAGACAAACTGTTCAACAAGAAGCGCAAAGGTAACAAATCATTTTAAAAAATGATATTCTAACACTTGAATACATTAGTCAGTTGCAGCATTCAAATTACAAAGTAAATTCGTTTTTGGCCTGAATAATAATGATCAAATTGCAAATAAAAGATGTTATTTTAACTTAAAGTCAATTCTCTATTCTATAATGACAAATATCTTAGACCCATTCGCCGGAATCATTGTTATTTGGTGGGAATTACTCAAGCTTGAAAATGTTGGTTGTGTAAGTATGTTAAACACATAGAAGTTATCATACGTGTGTGTTTTGGGATGGTATTTATTCCAAATACAGGATATTTACCATTCCAACATACACATGCATAATAACCTCTTTTTCATATAAAGTCGTTCTTAAATGCAAACGTCTCTCACAAGAGATACCTAAACATTGCAGGTTTTACTGGAATCTGCGCATTAATAAATTACGTGACAAGGTCAGTGATAAGTCAGTCGGATTATTACAACGGTACTTATAGTTCGAACTGAAGCTTGTTTAGACAATAGTGTATCTGCCGTGTAGACAAAAAGGATACATAATTTTGTCAGTTTCAGTTATCCCGTCGGTCGGCTTCCTGGAGTAATTGTCCTTTGCCAAATGGAAGCTACTCTAATCTGTGAGACGTCACGTATGCCTGATGGTAGATATCCAATAACGAAACAAGGTTAAATATTTAACCCAAATTCAACTGTTTTAAATTCGGGAAAACACCCCAAGCCAAAGAATATTCAAGTCTCACAAACATAGAGACGGTCTCGCAACATATATCTCCAAAGTTGGCTATACTTTTAGACGGCGCAGATATTGATTACATTTTTTTCTTTACGTTGCACCAGGTATAATCAATAATTTCCATTGATCCCTTCATTAATTTCCAGCACTGTGTTGCCTTTTAGCGCCGAGTGGAATCTGTTTCGGTATATAATGATTGATTATTCTCTGGTTTTGTTGTTTTTAATTCTCAGTTAATGCAGCTGAATAATAATTCTTCAGAAACATAAGTTACATCTGGATGTTCGGTCATATTAGAGCCATTCGTCGCCACACGTCCCTTTCTGTAAACTGCAAGAATACTCGGTCTCTTAATATAGATATTTTTCGGCGAGAAACTAATCAGAATGTGCGTATGGCCCATTTGCGCAAAGACGGTACCAAGTTGATAAAATGGCCGAGAGACGGGCAATGGTACTGTTATTTACTGTAAAACCGCAAAGGTTCAGACTGTACATTCGTAAAACCTTTAACACTTATAACGAGACGAACGTCTTCGTATTTCTTGTTTGGTTAATTAAGTAGCAATGACTATCTGTCGCACACATTTCGCTTACAAATATAATTAATAATAAATATTAAAATGAATAACATGTTCTTTGTTGATTTAGATTATACTTACATAAATGCAGACTGTCTTTTATACATTTGAGGTTCACGATACACGTATATATATAGGTAGTGCCGCATAGATTAGAGACGAACATGTCAAAATGTCTCGGTTGACACGGAGTTTGCCGAAACAATGAGAAGCATGTGTCTGTGCTCAGACAGGAAGCGCTCAATTTGATCACGTGATTTTTTTATTAGATGGTATCGCAATAAGGCGACTCGTTATAACCAGATAGAGTAGATGATAGCCTGAACTAAAGAGAGTATGATATTTATCTTTAGAGCTCCCACACATCGTTGGCATATACCGTCAGGGATAAAGAAAGATATACGTACATATGTACAATTATTTAAAACTTTATTTTAAGGTCTTTAAACATACAGCACTAAAATGCAGAAAATAATCAACACATAAAAATACAACTATTTAACAATGAATAAATTTCAACAATGTCAACAATGATATTTAAATGATGTCAAAATCAGAATGAACATTTAAGTGGTGAAACATCGATTTCTAAATTACGTCTGCGCAAGTGTCTTTTGTTCGCAACCTTGTTCGACTTGGACCGGAAATAACGTAGTTGACTGGCGTAGTCATGGTGCTGCATGGGAATGTAGGTGTTGGGCTGACACTGTCGCTGAGGAAAGAACAAAAACATTGTCAGTATTTATTGATTGTAAATGTTAAAATAAAAACAGCTTTCCGAAATGTTTCATATAAAGAGCAACAGATATTGTGCTCCGAAGTGTTCTAACCTCCCAAGACCCTATTGGAATGTAATTACTTCCTGAAATAATAATAATTAAATCTGTCTCTTTGTGAAATGTGCAACGTACCTGATGTTGTTCATAGAAGGCCTTGTACCCACCATCCAGCAGGTACACTTCCGGGCAGAAGAGGAATGGGTAGCGGTCACTGTTCAGCTTCCGGTCTAAGCTCCGTAGATGGCGTAATCTGAGTTAAAGAATAATTGTATCAGTTGGAGAATATTATACTTTGTAATAAACTCAGGACTCTTTTAACATTCATATTTGGTGTCAGCTGGGGAATTTGACCCTCTCATGTTAATGTTACATGTATTACCGTTGAGAACAGCACGGCACGATGTAAGTCATGCAGATATAGACCCGTGAAGATTCGGGGTAGAATAGGTCTTCAGCAACTCATTACTATGCTTGGTGTAAGAGGCGACTAACATATTCGGGTGGTCAGGCTCGCTGACTTGGTTGATGCATGTCATCGTATCCCAATTACGTGGATCGATGCTCATGGTATCAATCACTGGATTGTCTGGTCCAGAATCGATTGTTTACAGACCTCCGTCACATAGCTGGAATATTGCCGAGTGCGGCGTCAAACAGACAAACAAATATGCAGATATAGTTTCATATTTGTGTGTCTATGTTCGGTTTGGAAGGTAGACCGTTAACGCAACCCAGTACTTATCTGATTTCTCTCGAAATGTCGAAAGTAACTGATTACCATATCAGCAAAAGATAAATGTTCCGAAATGTGCACCAGAGAGCAGTGAAAGTTACACAAGCATGATGACTTACAGTTTGGGTGCTCTCTCTGATGAGAATTCACAGTGGAAGACGAGAATGTTCCGTTTGGTGGACTCCCTCCACCGTAAACTGGTGACGAACTCCGTGATCTGAGCCTCATTGTGGAGATTAATGGCACCCTGTAAGAACGATGATCATGAGAATAATTTGTCTTCAATTTTTTTTATGAACGTTAGTATGGATATGTTTTATCTCTACAACTACCATATTGATTTAATCCAGATTCAAACATTTTATTCAAGCAAACGAATAAACAAATACCTCAATATGGCCACCTTCATATTCATACGGATAACGACAGTCGATGATCTGGTACCCGGAAATGACGTCATCGTATTTGCCTGTCAGAAGGTGATTGACTGCGCGTGGAGACACTGACTTGAGATCCTTGTGTCGGCCTGTGATGGTCGGGAGTCTGTGACACTGGATAACAAATGATGACTTCATTATGCATTCACAACATGATGAACCGAAAATAATTAACGTCGGATAACGTTTACCGTTAGAGTAAGAACTTCCAAATTTAAAACTACCAAGAACGAGTAGTGAATAGTGTATACACTAGTGAGGAATATTGGTATTTGTTGTACAAATGTCAATACCTTTGAGCCATCGCCAATCAGATTGACTTCCGTCTCCATTTTGTCCACCGCTGATTTGATGGATTCGGGTGATTCAGAAACACATTGCTTGCCCTTATGTTCCGTGACGTCATCACATCTGGATCTCTTTGCCACGGGACTGTCATCCTCATCATGTAGCCGTTTTGGCGGGAATAAATATTTTCTAACTGGGCTGAAGTCTGTGATTGTTCTACACGACCAGGAATCGTTGCTTGGAGACACCTGAAAGTGAAATTATCAATATGTATATTACCGGAATTTGAGCGTGTTCTATCTGCTCAGTTATTAAAGATGTTTTAACGGAGATATGTTATCTTTATTCATATTAGTAACCACAAACAAATATTTTATGTTGTTCCGTGGAAATAACAAAAACTGTCGGGACATGCATATTTACCTCCGTGTCACTCCCGTGAGATTCGAAACCGCTGTCACGTGAGTCCTCGTCATCAGCGAAAGTGAGGCTGCGTGGCAAAACTACAGCATCTTCATGAATACCAAGACCTGATGTCACCCGATCAGGACTGTCAAGGCAAAGTCTGACCATGCTGAACACTGGTAGTGGGATCATTTTAAGCTGAAAAATAATTGAAAATAATTATCAAATTGCGTCACAAAAATATTGGTTAATAACAAAGAATATATGTCACCATGCAACGATGCATTATTGTGATGCATTAAATGACACATTCATTGTGACTAAATTTTATATGGATCACGTGTGTTGTAGGAAATTTAAAAACGTTATTTCTTCGAAGATAAAAAAATAAACACTTCTTTTTAAGAGGTGAACCCTTACCCTTAGTCGTATCTTTCTAATTGAGTAAAAGTGTTCGGTTTTTTCAAGTTACTGTCCCTGCCAGACACAAGTGAAGAAAGATGTACCCTCCTGCCTCCCATACTGTATATATACGTGTGCTGGTGTAACAATATCAATGACCTGATTACGTATACAATCTACTGCACACTACCGCTAACACTTCAGCTTAATTACTTTATTTTGAGTCAAACAGCCCCTGAAACTCTGAAACAACACATCCAGTCTAAAATGGAGCAATTATAGGATGCTAGCACCTCGTGGGTTACCAGCGCTCAAGCTTGGGGATCAACAGCTGTGGCTTGGGTGTACGGCGTTTCTATACCGGGCTGAGAGGAGATTATCCCCGAGTAATAATCCAGGTAGGACATCAAAAAAGGTAACTGATGTTGGAATAAATCCCGGGGTATAAATTGTATTAGGTAACGGCTAGAAATTAGAAATAGGCTGTGGAACAAATAGACAGCTCGTTACATTGTTTGTGCAGGGCAAGCGAGAAAGACAGTGGCCAGTTTGTAATCGGACAGTAGGTAGACATAGAGGACAATATAATATAATTATCTGTAGGGATTGGGTCACAGTACATGTAGTTAAATAGCAACAGCACCAATTAAAGATTGCATGCGTCGCCACACCAAACAGGACCAGACAAAGAGCTGCCAACTCCATGTTCTGCAACATGTTCCTTTAAAGACTCATGAAAGACCGAAACCTATGCGAGTGGAGACCTTCAGTTATTTCGTTACAACGATTATACACATAATTGAAGCATTAAATGACTGAAGTGAAAGATATGTGTGCCCACGTTAACAGTTTATGAAAAATGTAAGTTTACTAAAGGGTTAAATGAGTTCATGTTTTTTACGCCACAGTCAGCTATATTCTTTCTATGGGTCTTCAGCAACCCATTCTTGTCGTAATAGGCGACTAACGGGACCAGGTGGTCAGACTCGCTGACTTGGTTAATGCACGTCATCGTATCCCAGTTGCGTAGATCGATACTCATGATGTCAATCACTGGTTTGTGTGGTCCAGTCTCGATTACATACAAACCGCCGCCATATAGCTGCAATACTACTGAGTGCGGCGGTAAACAACAAACAAACAAACACCCAATAAACCAGGTCGAAAAAGCGGCAAGTCGATGGACACATTGCAAATGTGACTAAAACATGTGAAGAGGTTGTAAACTGTACCCTCTCTAAAGAGTGGCAAGTGGATGAATAACAAGACATGTGCCAATGACAGGTGAAGGGGTGGTACATAAAAGACTGAAAAAAAATTATAATGATAATAACAAATAAACGTAGGTTCAAGAAATCTCTTCTAAATGCTGAATCCACTGTAAATTCTGATTATGTCATAACCTTGTGTCCATGAATCATTATCAAATAGTGATGATACCAGGTGTTCACGAAAAGTTTAGAATATCCTGCCCCACAAGTGGCACCCATCACAAACACAAGTCAATTGTTCACCTGAAAAAAACACAGGACACATGGTACATGTTGAAATAGGGAAATGCATCGGACATCATTTTTATCACGGATATGTCAAATGTGGAAATGTCCTCCATATGTCTAACATAAAACATTTGAAGGTTTCCCTGAGACCTTGAAGGTTGTACCACTGATCACAATGAATGCTCAAGATGATACCTACTAAAATGTCTACCTACATGTACTTGTCCATCTAAATGTCTTATCCTCCAAATTCACATAGATGTTATCAATGAGGGAGTCGAGCATTTCACATGTTGCTTCCTCGGTAAACTACAGATGACATTTGTTTTCTTTATTGACAATTTATTCTGAACATGTAACTATGTCTATCGTCATCACGATAATTAACAAACGCATCATGGATCGATAAATGCAGTTTCTCCTTTGGGATAGTGTGGAACAAAGTTGAAAAATCAAACGTTTTGACACAAATATTAAGGTCCACATTTGAATAACAGACGAATTACAAATTAATGAAGTCACCCGTGATAATATGACCTGCAGGGTGGTCGCGTTATAATGAGTCTTGGCAGCCACAAGTTGTGGAATTTACATCGTGAGCTGCCAACTCCATGTCCTGCAAGACGTTCCTCAAGTACCGGGCTAAGGAAACGTATACTCCTTTGTTCAGTACAGTTCTTGCCCATTGTAATCTGCGTTGACGGTGTAGAGGGGGGGGGGAGATTCAACGGGAGGGTCAGTATGCTTTGATACCACCAATGCGGAGTCGTCGTAAGACTGTTCGTCTGCTGATGGGGTGTCCGCCGTTGACGTCGCCGTCACATATCGGTTCCGCGGGTGGATTGTCCGGCCGTAGCGGTCTTCAACAGGCTTTGTGACCCTTGGTCTTCCCGATCTTGGACGGTCTTGTGTCTGGCCTGTTTGCTGATAACGACTCAACAAGGTGCTAATACTGGTTTGACTGCAGTTAAAGTTTTTTTGCAATCTGCCGTTGAGATGCCCCTATGTCTGCCATACCAATAGCTCTGTCATGATCTTGTGTGAGTCTGGGCATTTCTCTGATATTCTTTTGATGCTGCATCCTTGTACTGCCCCACACCAGTATTTATGTAATAATCATGCACGAACATTTTTAACAGTTCCCAAAAATTCCTTTTTTTTCCCATTTTCCATAACTGCATGAAATTCACTGTATCCTGCAAAAAGTGACATTCATGTGTGCACAGGTTGTGATTTGGTGAATGTGTTCTGGTAACGTTCTCACTTATCGCGCCGTCTTTAATTCAGATAAAACCTAATTTACGAATGATAAGTTTCTTTTGCCCGGTATAATTGCGCAACTTGGATGAAATGGTGTTGGTACAGAAAATGTTGGTTACTGAAATTAAAGATATTGTGGAACATGTAAAGAAATTGATTTCTGTCTAACGATGTAACTGCAGATGTAACTGCGATGTAAAATTTAAAGCATTTTCTGATTTAGTAAAGTTTGCTTCTGTTTTGGCCCAACGCTAAAAGCAGTATCAACAACTATACTCTCTACTCCATACTGTGGGCTCGTAATGTTTGCTTACCCAGCCATCAGCAAAAGTTTCTATGGTCCTGATGTTTCTTTCAACTATGCAGAGTATGGTCTTGTTCCTACTTTGTGCAATCCCAATGGTTTTTCTGGGGTGAGATGAGGTGAAGTGGGATTTAACATTGCATCAAGTTATTGCACTTATGTAGTCGACTCTCCTCAATGCCGACATATTTTTGGTATGACCCGGCTGTGCATCATTTTGTCTTGTCCTTTCTTGTGATCACGACTGCTCTAAACCAATATAAAACCTCCGGGTCACCCATGTCCCCTTTAATAATGTCTGAAACAGTATTCAAATCGTGTAGTAAGTAAATGTGGAAATAACCTGCATGGTTTGAAACAAACATGGCATTTAATCTATCAATGGTTTGTAGTGTGAGTCAGCGAGTTGGGTTTAACGCCGCTTTTAACATTATTCCAGTTATATCAAGGCGTGTAAGCTTAATTTTGGAGGAAAGCCCGAAGAGATGCAGGTCTCGAACGTTTACCACTTCGATGAAACCCACGAGCACGGTTATGGTGCTGACAATCCTTGAAAAATATTTGGGGCGAACCGGGATTCAAACCCACAATCACAGGTTTCTGGCGTGCCCAAGGGACGCAACTCTGCACAGCGAATCGCGGTGGCTTCAGAGGACTGGGCCGCATGTGTCCCCCAACGGTTTGTAGAGAAAACAATTTTCGCAATAATAAGAAAACTGAGGATGTTTATTTACGATTCCGACTGATCTCGATTCACAGCTATTTTGCCAATATTTCAGCCTGGTCACGATTTAGATGAAACTGGTAGATTTATTAACATTCGAAAAGAACATATATTGTGTGGCGTGTGTTCTTGATGGCTATATAGAATATAAATATGTTTTGACATATTTGTACTGCATATGATTGCTTATTTTGCCTTTTACCCCCGGCGGAACATCGATACTTGTTATTCTCTGGCGTTGACGTTTCATAATTATTAATCACAATCAAATAGTGACATACTTGGACTTAGGAAAGGCAACAAACCATTTGATTACCCCATAAGCAAGAAAACTCTGATGTGCTTTTGTAGTTTTATTACACTTATCAACACCCGTATGTTTAAAACTTCCGCCTCTCGGAAGACTTAGTATTGGAATATTGAGTACGGCGGTGAACAACAACTTCATCTCGCTAAGGGGAGAAAACTGTACGTCCTAATTTATCTAAAGGTTTAATGTATCTAACTACAATTACATGTATGTAAATCCCCAAAAGACTTAAATTTAGCAAAAGCTTTATTTCAATTTATTTAAATCAATATTTTGTAAATTTGTAACGCATAATTTCAAAAAAGGTCGACATCAAACATTTCAGTATACTATGCATGATAGGGAAACTAAATAGTGGTAGGCGATGACGCGCCATGAAAACAGTATGGTTGAATAAAGCAGAAAAACAGTTTAAATAGGTTTATATTTTTTATTGACAGTAAATATAAAGTATACAAGCAAATCATTATCTATAATGGACATTAAAGCATTGCGTTAAATACAAACAACAGAAGACATGTCGCAAACCTTGATATGTAAATAGCATGAAATAGCACCGTATTCTTATCTGGGATCGAGTTATATACTTTTTATTACAGAAGCACAAATGCTGGAGGACTAGTTACGGGAACATGTTGTTGGTCTCTATCGTTGGTAATCACCCTCTACTACGACAAGAGGTTAACAAACATACATCCCCAATACATTTGCATTCATCCCTGGAAATACTCTTGCATTTTATGAATAGTTGCTTTTGAATGTATAAATCCGTACAGTAGACTAAGATAGCGACCGACAAAGTACATTTTATCCGCTCAATAAATAAGTCTCAACCTTCATGAATAAATAATGACAGATGTGGTCCCCATAAGTTACATGTTATTAACATGAGGATGTGATCTACGCGCAGCTATCGGTCGACATTCTCAACACAGCACTCGACCACGTTGCACTAGCAAAATACATTACAACAGTTCAACAAGTCCAACAACTCACAACAATCTGAGTAAACAACAGTTTCAACAAGCACTGCTACTTCCCCACAATATCCAAACATCCGTACATTCCCTGAACTCCTACTACTGCTACACAATAGCTAAATGCAAAGTTCAATAGCCCCACGCCGTTACACCCAATAAAGCTTTGGGGCAGCGTCCACTTCACGTGGACAGCTAGATCTACCAGATAAAGAAAGTCACATTTTTTCTATGACTATATTGGACGAAACAATTCTCTGAACCAATTCCGTCATCTTCTATACCATCTAGGTAATCGTAGTAACATTTTCACAGCGTGAAAGCAGAGGGTGACATTTCCAAAACCTGTCTTCTTTGAAATGCTCTCTTTCTTTCTCGCACTGCGTGGGACTTGGTAGAGCGGAAGTGACGTAATGCAGAGCTAAAATCGTGGTGCAGCATGGGAAGGTACGTCTGAGGCTCACACTGGTCCTGCAAATCAAATTATTAAATGTTAATATATTTCCGTTGTAACATGCCGTTATGACATTCCGTTGTGCGGGGTTTTACTGCCAATTATACAGAGTGCCGCCTACCTTCTTCCGTAGGTACAGCGTACCAGTAGAGACAACCATCAATAACTTAAATAGCCGTCCTTCGACCTATGAAAAACGATTTCTCAGCATACCTGGTGTTTTGAAAAGAAGGCCTTGTAACCGCCATCTAGCAGGTACACTTCCGGGTAGAAGAGGAAAGGGTAGCGGTCACTGTTCACCTTCCGGTCTAAGCTTCGTAGATGGCGTAGTCTGTAACATACCGTATTTCAATGAAATTCGGACATTTGTAATATTAAGGAATGCACCGATTGTAACCTTCACTATAACGAAACCTGGTTATTATGGATGGACTCGTTTTTAACGAGATCGTTCTGATTAATAAGCCTCCAATTTTGAGGTTAACGAGACACGGGTACGTAGAAATATCGCAACAAAATATACATAGGATTGTTCCTGATAACGGGCCGGAAAACGGAATGTTCGGATTAACGAGGTCCGGTTTAACGAGTTTCACTTTAACCACCTCTTTATCTCAACTGAACAAACTGAATCACTTACAATTTAGGCCCCCTCTCAGAGGAGAATTCACAATGGAAAATGAGGATGCTTCTTTCGGTTGACTGCCTCCCTTGCTCGTTTGTGACTAATTCCGTGACAAGGGCCTCGTTAAAGAGGTTAAGTGCCCCCTGAAAGGAAAAAATATAAAATATACATAATGTGTCGTTTTTAGAATGATGTTATTAATGTGGTGATTGTTACCATTACAAAAAATAAATATATTTTCAATTAGTTGCAATTGGCCGATTTTACATCCACATTGATACTGACCTCAATATGTCCGCCTTCGTATTCATACGGATACCGACAGTCAATGATCTGGTAGCCGGAAATGACGTCATTGTATTTCCCAGCTAGAAGCTGACTGACGGTTATTGGAGACACTGACTTGAGGTCTTTATGTTTCCCTTCCATTGTCGGGAGACAGTGTGTCTGCAAACACAATTGGTGGTTTTAATTCCGTGCACAGAGACGGACCAGTATGTACACCCGAGTTTATAATTACCTGAAGTAAATCATACCAATACCCGAGTATTACACTACATCTTATTATCTGAAGTAGGAGTACACTGTAGCTTATTAGCTGAATTGTCATACTAACATTAACACTGTAGCTTATTACCAGAAATACCTCATACAAATACCTGAAATACGCCATACAAATACCAAATTACCAAAGTGCCAATTTCTGCCAATGCCTGAAATAATGAAACCAATACCTGAATACGCAACACCAATACCTACACCGCTGCTTACCATTACCTGAAATGTATCATACGAAAACCTGAATCTGAAATAAGTCATACTTACGCCTGAAATAAAGTTGTCATACGAATACCTATACTACCCCATAATATATGAAATGTCATGTAAATAGCTGTCATAATACCAATACCTACACATCAGCCTACTATTTACTGGAATTGGTCATACCAATGCCTGAAATCACCATACTTACGTATAAAATATCATACCAATATCTGAAATTCGTTAGCCAATACCTGAAAACATGATACCAATACCTACACTGCACCGTATCATTACCTAAAATACGTCATACCAACATTTACACTGCGCCCTACCATTACCTGAAATACGTCATACCAACATTTACACTGCGCTTTACCATTACCTGAAATACGTCATACCAACATATACACTGCATCACACCATTACCTGAAATGTCATACCAACATTACACTGCGCCCTACCATTCCCTGAAATACGTCATACCAACATTTACACCGTACCATTCCATTCCATGAAATACGTCATACCAACATACCATACCAATCCGTCACATCAAAATGAATACGTTACATCAATAAACGAAATACGTCACTCTTTATCTCCTAATACGCGGAATACCACTACCTGCCTTTTTCTGAGTGCGGCGTTAAACAACAAACCAACCAACCTGTCTTTCTGCGTAGGTGTTAAACCAATAACTGTAATTACATCAGGAATTAACAGTTAACGAACCGTTAATGGAACTTGTAGAATCTGTAATTTATCCTACATTGAAGATGAATATCACTCTGTTTATTTGTAATCTCTACTATGTTGAGGAAAATATTTATTCCTGAGAAATACACAAATAGACATAAAATTGACATTATGCTGTCATCTGTGAATCACTCTCCATTTATCCAGTATTGTTATTATGGGCCTCTGGCTTATAAACTTTTCGGAATTCCAATAGTACTATCCACAAAACCTCGTATTAAGAAAATACTTCGACACAAAATATGTCATTTTTGTAACCTGCAGTAAGCTAAATCACTTCTGAACATTGGGTCAAACATGAATCTATCAATTATGATTAAAATGTTATAAGAACAAGGAACTTCAAGAAACCGCTATAAATTAATGGTCTAAAAGCAGATTCCGGTGTAAATGTCAAAGATACCCAAAGTAAAATCCGTCAATGTACCTGTGATCCGTCCCCGACAAGACTTCTGTCGATCTCCATCTTGTCAACGGCCTTTTTCACGACATCTGACGTAACGTCCGCCAGGAATACCTAGAGTTTCAAATGTAATTATGCAAATGCAAATATATATATATATGTAAATGTATGTATATGTATGTATATGTAGACCTCATCTATGGTGATGACATTATATCATGTGTGGTGTTCGTAATGGAGCAGTCACTCGAATCTGTTCATTCCGGGAGTAGAAATACCAAACCCCGAAACGATCCGCGTGATTGCTCCGACTTAAAAACCATGTCATGTCTGATGTATAAAATTTCTCTATAATTGTGTAGTGAGTGAGTTGGGTTTAACGCCGTTTGAACAGTATTCCAGGTGCATCACGGTTTGTCAGATTCATGTGGGAGTGAAACCCACGAGCATGGGTATGGTGCAAAAAAAAGAAAACAGAAAAATAATCGGGGCGAATCGTGATTCGAATACTATCAGAGGTTTCTGGTGTACCCAAGGGACGCAACTCTTCACAGAGAATTCCGGCGCCTTACACGACTGGGCCCCCCTTGTCCCCTAAGGTCTTAATTGTCATCACAGAAATCATCGACTATTCCACATCAAATATTACATCAACTTGGTCGTAGTTTTGCTTAACGCAAACTGTGATGCAACTAGCGTTTCAATTTGTTCTTAAAGCATTGGAATATTACAAATATTTATACAGACTATGAAATGGGATGTTCATACCAACCAGAAGAGAGAATTAAGCAGCTGACATGCATTGAGGATGGGTCGAATTGCTTTGGCATTCCAGCGACCAGTCCCAAGTGTAACAAATGATTGATTCACTGGAATAAAATAGGTGCATACCTCATCATCGCCCTCGTCAACGTCATCGATGAAGGGTCGTTGGCGTTTTTCACATCGTGGTCCGTCGTCGTCGTCGCTGTCGTCAACAGAATCGGTGCGTGATCTTTTTAAAGAAAACAGCGACCTCCTGGCTTGAGTGATGTCAAAACTCCTCTTTGGTGCCCTGGTCTCGGGTGTCTCCAGGGAGAAGACCTGCAGAGATGGAGCTCTATGTTAGAGGATGGGAATATGGACATGGGAATGTAGACATCAATGGATATCTATGTTAGAGGATGGGAACATGGACATCTGTTGATCTCCATGTTAAAGAGGGAATATGGACACCAGTGAATCTCTATGTTAGAGCATGGGAACATGGACATCAGTGGATCTCCATGTTAGAGGATGGGAAAATAGACATCAGTGGAGCTATGTTAGAGGGTGGGAATGTAGACATGAGTGGATCTCTATGTTAAAGGATGGGAACATGGACATCAGTGAATCTCTATGTTAGAGGATGGGAATATGGACATCAGTGAATTTCTATGTTAGAGCATGGGAACATGGACATCAGTGAATCTCTATGTTATAGAATGGGAATATGGACATCAGTGGATCTCTATGTTAGAGATGGGAATATGGACATCAGTGGATCACTATGTTAGAGGATGGGAATATGGACATCCCCGGTTCTCTGAGATTGAGGATATAAGTATGGACATAAATTGGGGTATTTGTTATATATTGTATTATACCTAAGTACCCATATCTTATACATATCTTAATTCAATCTGAGGTTGCCTTGGGTTGCCTTCACCTTGCCAGAAATCGCCAGTGTGTAAAATGTCCTTTCAATCTACTGTATTTAATGCCCAACAAGCGTTCATTACAGCAAACGCTTAACAAAAGACCATACCATAGTCTTGCGCTTTTGGCATGTCAGGTAAAAATGACATTGTGTGTTTATTTTGAAATTAATGTTAGTGTGTGTGTGTGGGGGGGGGGGGGGGGGGGGGGGGGGGGGGTATGTTCGTATACTCACCCCTACAGACATGTCTGGAGACCCATAGCCACTGTCACGTGACATGTCTTCGTCGTCACTTAACGAACTCTTGGTCCGACATTTCGCGGTCACGAGGTCGGGACTGGTCGTTATGGTTGCTGATGTTGAAAGATCCATCTATGCAGATACAAATGTATAAAATGTATATATTTGACACATTGTATTTGTTCTCCCTATTTCTTGTCCGATTTGTGAAGTGTCATGATACAATAATTACATTGATAATCATAAAAATAAAGAAAGTATTTCAATCAATTGACCCTGTCAATATGACGGCAGTGTAATTATCAGTGTTACGTTTAACATGTTTGTATCGTCAATGCGATTCGCTTCTTAATTATTCTTGCTAATCTTATCTCAATTTCTGCACGACAATCCAATCAATCTGTGTACAAAAATCTCACCTTAAATAACCTTGTCTTCTTAACGCCAATTACTCAAAACTCACTGAAAAAATATTACAACATTTAAGAATAAGCAATTTTCAATTATTAATTTATTTCTACTTCAGCTACTACTTTTAGTAACGCTACAACAATATATCATTCATATATTTCAGTGGATCTATTTCTGAACCGTATTGGTTATTCATTTAATTAATGCCAGAAGTAAAGTATATTGAAAGAAAACAGTTACAAAGATTTTATCATATTGCCTGCATTCTACATAATTTCCAATTGTGAAAACTATACAATACACAAAATAAACATGTAAGGATTTATACTGAATATTTGTCAAAAATTGAAAATAAATAATGTTACGTACATCAAATTTGTAAGCGATGGTACGCCTTCATCAGTATGTTCTATTATTACCCTTACCTATGTGTTGTGTGTCGGGGTGCAGTAGCAGTGTATAATGGCAGTCCGGGGGTCCTGTCGCTATATACTTGTCCGGCATAAAAGGACAGCTCTCCAACTTGAGTTTCACACAATAGGTGTGACCAGACAATCTCCAAATTCAATAGTTGTGTAAACTAAAACAACCACTTGGACTGGCTCCCACGTGCACGCCATCATGCCTCACCGTGTGTGGTGACAGCACCTGCACCCGCGCTTGTTTAGAAATTGAGATTTGGTGTAAACAACAACACAGATTAAGTAAGTCGATTCAACCTGTGTGACGTACATCCCAAGTAAATACTACCCAACGGTTAGCTTCATATCCAAGGGAGGCAATTGCTGTCAAATTGAATCTTAATTGCTTTAGTTGTCAAAACATTTTTAAAACGAAAATGGCTACTGGGTATTAGAGAAGGGTGAAATGGGTTTCGGCTTGTGTATAGTGGATTGTGTTTATACGGATATAGCTGGAGTAAGTTGTCGGACAATGGTTTTCAAGGCTTCGATGGGAAGTTGCTTCGTGTTTAGGATATACGCTCGATTTTCAATAGACATGGCAGCCTTTTGTTTTACTTGTTGTTGCCATGCTTGTCCACGTTAGCAAGGATACCGGCTACATCCTTGACCTCGAATATCTGCATAACAACTGCTTTATTGTTTATAACGACGTTTCAGGATTATCTTATATGGATAACAACTTCTTTACTACTTCTTTAAGTGGCATTTAGAAGTTGGTATGATATGATGAACAAGGAGATTCTATGGATATTCCACTTCTTTATTACAACGAATGCGAAGTTTCGGTGAAGATACTAACACGGCTTTTTTTATAAAAGCAAGTAATGGAATTACACGTTTGATGGCGGTGTTAGAACCTGCAGCGAAACGTCGCGTTCATTGTAATAAAGAAGTTGCATATCCACAGAACTATCTCCCTTGTTCATCTTATTTATTGTTTAAAGCGACGTTGTTATCCATCAACGTTTCATGTCTTCATGTTCTTTCAACTCCTTTTGAGTCTACTATCAAAGGCTTGATCCCCAACATCATAAAAAAATCGGTAACACAGTCTCTGGTAAAATGGTCTTAAGGTAAATTTGTAACCTTTTCTGTGTTTATTCCTATGAGTTTCTTTCCGATCTCCTATTAAAATCATATACAGGTATACCGAGGGCGCTGTCAAAGTTAGGAAAGCGGTACATATCATCAAATATAGGCATCATTTGATATTTCATATATAGGAAAATATAAAAGCAATAACAATTTTACTGGGGACATCATCCCATGTTCTTGTCATATTTTTTCACAATTAGCTATCTGTTGTTCTTTGAGAGAAAGGTATATGTATACATGACGTTTTCCATAAAATAAAAAAGCGGGTAGCGTCAGAAATCTATCAAATTTGAGAATACAATAAATTGTTCTTTGGTGATAGAATAGTATATATTGGATAGCCGCCATGTACGTGTGCTTAGGATTGGTGGCACGGGGGCCCTTTCCCCGTAGCTGTTGCACGTGAACTGTACAAATATGACTGTTAGTGTTTGAATTATATTTATGTCTGTAACCGTTGAAACCGTTGATACCAGTGACGATTCCGGGTCAGGATCGGGTGGTTATTACTCAGATAATCCAACCCTCTGTACTTAAACCAAGGATTACAAGCAAATATCTTAATCAGACGATTCCCTAAAGAAAGCTTGAAATTATTCTCATTGCGAAGTCATAAAACGTAATAAAACGTTGATAAGGAATTCCGTTTGTTTTATTCATTGTGTAAAAGTGCTCAAGGTGATGATGAGCCAATGGTTGCAGATGGACAGTTCTGACTCAAAATATGTGTCGGGTGACTTTTGCAAATATTGCTAATCGATGTGTTTGTATCATATAAACCACCAGGACCCCGTGCCACAAAGCGATCTTAGCCCAAAGGTGATTGTAACTCCCATACTCTAACACTGGCTTACGATCATTGTAGCTCTGAGATCGCTTTATAGATCGGGTCGCGAACTATACCATAGCCAGGAATGTAGAATTATAGAAAATTTAAAACTGGATTTAATTTAAAGAGTGCAGTTTATGGATGTCAACTTCTTTATTATGAGGAACACAACGTTTCGGAGTATATGCTTACTCCTTCATCCACCTGATGAAGGAGAAAGCATATACTCCGAAACGTTGTGTTCCTCATAATAAAGAAGTTGACATCCATAGATTCTCCTCCTAAATGCCTTTGAAAGACTGGATTTAATTTATTCAAAGGTAACATGCACAAATTTACCTCCATGAAACACGGTGCTATGTCACAGACATGCAATATGTATTTATTCGTTGCACCGTTCTTGATGAAACCTGATTGCATCGTTATCCCAAATACATTTCAACAAAGACATACGCGTCATGTGAGATGGTTGACAGAATGATAATCTCTAAATGAATATTCCACTGAAAAGAAAAGTGAAATCATATCCTCAGTTATGAGATCTATTTTAAACATATTGCTATTCAATGAATTTGGATCCTAGAAGACTTTTGTCAATACCTTTCCAGTGCAAGTTATATTCATGAAGGCATTAAAGAAAAATAATACAGTTTTGAGATATATTTGGTTTTGAGGGTTTGAATCTTCTCGGCTAGTTTAATGCTATAGCAAAGAAACGGTAACATTCTTACTGAAACGAAGCTAGAAATCAAAGGAAATGCCATGATGTCACAATGACAACCATTCAATCACGAAACGACCAATTTAACAATATCTCCACAGCTCTGATTTGTAAAACATCTTGTCGACATTACATGTGTTGTGTTGTATATGTAATCCTTGTGTAAATATTGAGAGAGATACACGTTTATGACTTGAGCCTCAGTTTACAGATTCGTGTCGTCTGCTCCCCGCATGTGACACTACACTATTAGCGCAATTACGTCAGCTGAAGCTCGAAATCTTTCACCTTAGCTCCCTAAACACATTGCCTAACGGTAGATATGACTAACATTTCATGCAGATTATCTCATTAATCGGATACTAATTAGCTAATCCCATCCCACGACCCGGCACCGATTCTTCCCAACACAACTTACCTCCCTTTACATCATTGCTACAAGGGATTATCTCACAAAGGTGCTTTACGGCAAGTCTTACTCAGGTTGGTAATTAATACATTCTTATGGGATTAATTGACAGGCATTGTTTTCGCGGGCGTTCTGAGAAGCGAGATTGTAACGATGACTCGCTTGGTGCTACTCAAACAAACAGAACCAATTAGCATTTTACGCTAATTATTGCCTGCAAATGTCACTGATGCTTCCATATGGCTAGGATTGGATTAGGGGATTGTTTACATGTAAGTACCGTTGACAACCAGATGGCCATACACACACACACCATAAGTACCGGCTCCTGATTTCATTCCCAACACAACCGTTGAGACTCTCGCTTTGGATTACACGAGTGAGCTTGGGGAGTTTAATTGGCAATTTGTGACCTGTGTTGTTCACGTAAGTAAATTGGAGTTTTAGCCTCTTTATAGATCTACCGCTTTAAGTTTATTCTTTTTAAGACTTTGTTAACTTTGTTAAAAGCGTATATCATGAACATTGCTCAAGAAGCGTGCGTTCCATCCACGTGAATGTGTTGTCCTATTTGGATTAACCTAAGTGTCTGTGTGAAATGTTGGGAGGATGTGTACATGAATTGTTTGATAAGCATTTCGTATAACATGATGGCTAACACAATTTACAGATAACAACTTCCTTATTTTACTGTAATAGCAACATTTCGGTATAGATCCTTAAACTATTGTCAAGCAAGGATGTGCACATGTATGTGTTTTCAAAAGTAATAATAACAGGATGATTCTAATTGTGCCGATCTATGTTTTCTCAGTAACTATTTTTCATACTTTCTGCTGTCTGAATGTTATACCGTGTTATTATTCTGATACTTATATCTCTTCAAAATTGAATTATTGATGAACTGTTATGGAGTATGCCAGCATGCCAGCCATATAATGTTAGGATGACATGTTCACAAAGTTGATACACAATGAATGAGTTTTATTCATTGTATACGTATTCTGTATACAGTAATCATCATATACTTGGAAAACAGGAAAAATATTGTCATGGAAGTCTTGAATGTGAATTCTTGTTTTCGATTTAACATTATAGATATACCGGTTACCGATATCAACATTATCTCGAACAGAAAAGTTCGACTTTTTACGGGTGCTTACAGTTATATTTGATTTGGCACGCTCACAATCTTTGAATGAACGAGAAATAAAGAATGTGAAATGACAATTTTAAACCTAATCTGAACAAATTTGGCAAATTGCTATGAAGATCAAAGCAATAATAAGGATATAAGAACAATTCATGATAAGAAAAGTAAAAACAAGACAAGACAAATGGGGTTGGATGTTTTCTCGAACTAGGTACTTCTGAAATCGGGTTTTGTAAAACTCAAACTTTATTGTGAACATATCCTAGCAGACACTGTAACATTTGGATCGATAAGTTTGTAATGGAACGTATCTTTTTACAGTTCCGATTTACCAACATGCCACGAAGACGTCTGGCGGTGAGTATTTCTGTGCATGTTTATTTCCACCTAGATGACTGTTTATTGCAATGCGTCAAAGTAACAAACAAGTAAAATAAATATTGAACTGAACTGAATGTTTTTTAATATATTCGTATACTTTAATTCGACGCCCAGCTTTTTCCATCATTCATAGTATCGTAGTGATGTGGAAGAACATTTTTAATATACGAGGTAAAAGGCGGCATGCTTTCTTAACATCTTATAAACATATTTATTTCCATAAAGTGGAGGGATTGGCAAACAAGCAAATTTTGCTTATCTGAATGCCTCTCCCAAACATGATACATATACAAATAGCACGTTAATCTTGCTTGTTATAGTTCGACGATTCGGCTCCCCCTTGCTGTATGCCTCACCCTGCCAAGATGCGTCACATGACGACACCTCACACCAGCTTGGGTGGGGAGTGCCGGGGTACGTCACATCCATTGAGTGACGCTGACGTGGAGAGTGGATCACGTGACTGTCGTGGGCACGTGACCCCACAACGTAACACCTGCCCGGGTTACTGTGAGTTGGAGGAGGATTTCACTGACAGTGGCATCGACTCCCCCGAGAGCACAGCCATGGTACGTACACAGGACGCTGATCTGCTGGAATAGCCAACCATACTTTTATAATAACTGAAGCATTACTGAATTATTGAAATTGTCAATGCACTTGAGCATTAAGTACATGTTTGACGAAACTGATAAAGGTTGATTTATCGAACTTATATACAATTCACAATGGGAAGTAATATGAAAGAATCGGGTGATCCTTTATCTTTTCTGAGTAGACTTACATGTACTTCATTGTCGTTATTTTCAATTCCCCAAACACATAAAAGTACATTGTAAAACAGCGTCAAAATGTTACTTTTCCATAGAATTGTTATTCTAACACCCTGATCAATATTTGGTTACTGAAAGCGGGTTTTTTTAGAATTCTTTTTTTTAAAAAGAGACATTCATGGAGACATAGGCGTCAGGTGTAGATAAGTGGAATACATATGTGTGTTATTGTTTTCAGGAACAGGATACGCCCACAAGGGGCGATAACTCACCACAGAACTTACCGAGAAAATTCCTTTTCAAGCCGATTCCCAATGAGGTAATACCTATATCTCTTAAGATTATTTTTGTCACGTATTCATAGGCATTGAGTGTCTCAAACGATGTAGCGACACTCATTCGTTCCCACAAATCCACGGTCAGCACGTGGCTTGAGATTTGCACTCGTGATGCAACGCTATATGACTTCAGTTCAAGGCAATATCTGATTTTATGTAATAAAATAAAACATGCTTATTTATGTTAATGTTAAATAACCTACATGTTTTCTTTGAGAGGCATTTAAAAGTACTAAGTAAGGATAAGATATATGGATAAACAACTTCTTTATAAAATTAGGAGCGACGTTTCCGTGTAGGTTCTAACACCGTTATCAAGCAAGTTATTAATCAACCCTAAATGTTGCGAATCGTGTAAGGTACCGCAATTTTCGATGTAGAGTTGCGTCACTTAGGCGTGTCATGATACTATGATCGTGGATTCGGATCCCTGGTGTGTCAACACAATACCCGTATTGTTGGGTTTCATAAACTTGCAGACGTCCACAACGCTCCTCTTATATTCAGTTGACAGACCTTGATATACAGAACAAAACACAACAAATCAAATGAAGGAAGAGTGTCTGTCTTTTTAACTAACTACTCTTCACATTCAAATACAGCCATCCTCGATTATCCACGAAATATATCTCCGTAAATACCCCTCACCCATTAGCAGCAAAGCCTTCGTTTCGGATGTGACGTCATCATCTCCATTTGTCCTATCACGAAGTGTGGAAATGAGTGCAATCTGATTGGACGGCTATTTTTAGCGATGTGTTCGAATACCGAATGGGTCCTGGGTATTTATTCGATCCGTGACGATCCGAGTTAGAATTTGTCTTCCATGCTTGTAGTAAGAGGCGGTGTCTAGGCTCACTGACTTGATTAACGTTAAATGAGTTAATATTAATTTACGCCACATTCAGCGATATTCTTTCAATACCAGAGACGCCTGTATATAATCTAATAGGTCTTTAGCAACCCATAAAAGGCGACTATGCTTGTAAAACCATAGGGATCGGGTGGCCAGGTTCGCTGACGTGGTTAATGCATGTCATCGTGTCCCAATTGCGTAGAACGATCCTCGGGCGGGCGGTTAGCCTAGTGGTTAAAGCGTTCGCTCGTCACGCCGAAGACCCGGGTTCGATTCCCGACATGGGTACAATGTGTGAAGCCCATTTCTGGTGTCTGGTGTCCCGTGATATTGCTGGAATATTGCTAAAAGCGGCGTAAAACCATACTCACTCATTCACTCACTCACAAGAACGATCCTCAAGATGTCAATCACTGCCGAGTGTCCAGACTCGGTTATTTACAGACCTCCGTCATGTAGCTGGAATATTGCTAAATGCGACGTTAAACAACAGACAACAATAACAGAGTATTCACTCCAATAGAAAAGGATACATTGAGGATGACATGCACCTGGAGTCTTCCTCTTCAGAAGGCTTAATTTCCGCGTTTAACAATAGATGTGTATGTTTTTAGAGTTTGTGTCTGGAGTCCCTGAAGACAGCAGTCGAGAGGATGGAGAGTGAGGAGGCAAACCTTATCGGGGACGGAACTAGGGTAAGCTGAGCTAACAAAGTATACAACTCAAGTTTTGATAGGGATCCTCAGATAGTTCCTGTCTCCATAATCACGTTCGGAGTTCGGAATAATAGGAATGTCCCTGTCAAGCGTAGAGTAGTAGTCCTTAATAGGTTTAGGCGAGACTCTGGTCATGGGCAATCTTAGCAATTCGATTAAATGTGTTTAAACCCTCTTTGTCTGTGAACGTAAATGTCATGCTTGATGTCAGTCTGGTAGATTCTCAAATGTTACACTGGTGACTTATTACAATGGCTAGACCTAAAAGGCGACAAATGTATCCAAATTGCGCAAAACGATGCTCATGGTGTCAGTCATTGGATTGTCTGGTCTAGACTTATAAGCAGACCTCCTGTCATATAGTTGGAATATTGCCGAGTTGTACAACCTTTGTCCGATTTGTGCGGTTGATCATAGATAATTTCGAAACTAATGGTTTTACGAGTGCTTCTCACTGAATCTTATTTCGATTTCAAAATCTGCAAAATAGAATCAGGCGTTTTCATCAGTGCTGACAGATATCATATGTATATAACTTGTTAAAGGTTTCACTGAACCCAAACCCATACTTGCGCAGGATTTCTAAAGTTTCACAGACATATTTTCTATCTTTGTAGGCACACTCTCTCCCTACAATCAAAGGGAGACACAAGGATCTGAAGTCGGTGTCTCCCCTCACAGTCAGTCAACTACTGGCAGGGAAATACAATGACGTCATTTCCGGATACCAAATTATTGATTGTCGTTATCCGTATGAGTACGAAGGAGGACACATTGAGGTAACATTTTTATATCATCGAAAGGGAAAGAAACTGTTCCATACAAGTACCATACAATCCAATATTGAAACCTCTGTCAAAATCATCTTTACAATTTGTGTTACTGGTTCAACTAACCATTTCATTTCATGTCCTCCCAGGGAGCGCTAAACCTTCACACCGAGGCTCTCATAACGGATGTAATCACCGCTCAACGAGGGAGTGTGTCCACTGAAAGGAATGTCCTCATATTCCACTGCGAGTTCTCGTCGGAGAGGGGACCTAAACTGTAAGAATGTCATCCATTCAACATTAAAGTGCTGCAAACTTACAGTACACAGCCTCAGATTACGCAGAATGCCTTATTGTTTACCACATGGGTCCATACATGTAACAACTTTACCATAAAACGTCATACAGTTTACCATAAAACGTCACAAAGATGGTCATAGAATGTCATACATCCTACCACAGAATGCCAGAGATTACCAGAGAATGCTATGCAGCCTAATATAGAATGTCATATAGCTTATCAAATGTCACACACGAGGAAAAGAATTCATGTATGATCCGGCTGATGAAGAAGTAAGCATATACTCCGTTACGTTGTGTTTCTCATAATAAAGCCGTTGACAGATAAATTCTGTTCCTTATGTGAATGCCTTAAGTCTTAAATGTCATACAGCTCACTATAGAATGTCATGAAAATTACCATAGGACGCCATACAGATTACCATTTATCAAATGCCCAACAGTTTTCCATAGATTGTCATACAGTTTACTACAGAATGTCATACAGATGACCATAGGACGCCATACAGATTACCATTTATAAAATGCCCAACAGTTTACCATAGAATGTCATACAGCCTTCTATAGAATGTCATACAGATGACCATAGGACGCCATACAGATTACCATTTATAAAATGCCCAACAGTTTACCATAGAATGTCATACTGCCTACTATAGAATGTCATACAGATGACCATAGAAGCTCAACCATAGATTGCCACGTAGCTTACCATGGAATGTTTTACCGGATCCTATTCATATTACAACAACCGATGTATACATTTTCACAGTAATTATATTCATATTCATTAACCGTACAATTAATTGTCCCAGCTAATAAATAGCATTTTGAACAAGGGCGATGGCATTGATCATATTGTCTTACATACTGAAAGATATTTCGTATTTTCCTGAATATAATTTCATCTCAGTAAGTAAGTCATTAAGTTGATATCCGATTCCCTTATCAGACTACGTCATTTGAGAAGAATGGACCGGAAGTTAAACAGCGACCGCTACCCGTTCCTCTTCTACCCGGAAGTGTACCTGCTGGATGGCGGGTACAAGGCCTTCTATGAACAACATCAGGTGCGTTATAACAATGGAGTTTCTTCCGTGTTGTTTTACATACCACCATAATAATGTTTCAAATCACATTAACATGCGTCTAAGTACAGCAGTTGATTTGACAGTGTTCTTAACCCTTTCATTATAGCCCTGTCAATTTTCAGCCAGAGCCATTTTTCTCATAATTGGTACATAATTGATGACTATTGATAAACAACATTCAAACGCCTGTCTATCTTTCAGAATCACTGCGAGCCTCAAACGTACCTGCCTATGGTGCACGAATCCTATTCTCAGCAATTACGTCACTTCCGGATGAAGTCAAAGTCGTGGACAGCAGGCGAGAAACAAAGCATGCGCAGTAGACGCCTTGACGGATCCCCCATCAAATGCCAGTGGTAGCCGGGGACATTTGTTACGTGTTATTTGTTTTTACAAGCGCCTGTGATATGACTCTTGTTGTTGTTGCCTTTGGGTACAGTGTATTTATTGAAGTAAGACTATCCCTGACGTGGGCTATTTCTGTTTTCTATGGTATTTATAACGTTTGTCATAACTCATTCGATCTACTCTTGTACTCAGGTCTGCACTTGTAATGACTTGAGTTCAAATCCAACCAGAATTGTTCATCATGTATCGAGACGGGGACATGGGGGTGTGATCGGCGATTTATACAATAACTGCTTTAAATGAAGGGAACTTTCAGTCTGTTCTTGAGCATCATTCCATCATTCTCATGAAATATGTTTAATGTTCATGTAGCCATTTTGCATTGGTATTATGCATATTCTCAGCATGCATGCATGCACACACACACACACACACACACACACACACACACACACACACACACACACACACACACACGTTTGTAACTTATAAAAGGCCTAGCGAAGGACATACAGTGCTAATAAATAAATATAGTATTTATACAAATAGTATTTACTTAAGATTTTATAATAAATTATAGTGAAAAGTCCTTGTTTTGTCTTTATTCCACAATTTGATCTGGAGTTTCACGTGATTAGATCCAGAGGTTAGATTGATGTACTGTGGACGGATGTTCCCAGGATCCGCTGATTGTTGGGTTCGAATCCATTATTCTACACCGCACCTTCGCTTGTGGGTCTCGACAAAGTGGTAAACGTCATACTCGGATCCAGAGGGTGTTTGTGGGCGCATCGCTACCCCCTCACCACACAAGTCTAATGCATGTTATATTTTTCAAGTGTTAATCCCCGTCGAGGTAGTTCTGGGATAGTGCACAAAGCGTCGTAAAAGTATACTCACTCACTCACTCGGTGCGGTGCAAAACGCACACGACCACAAAAAACGAAATGCCAATAGTCCACTCTCCAATAACACTATCTGTAATGTGTAAAATAACACTATCACAGAGACATGTTTATACTACCCACAGAGGCATACAAATCAATTCCGCATAATCGGACTGGGAAACAGTTTATTTCAGAATATACAGTAAACTACGGTTATAACGAACTCAAAGGGACTACTAACTTTAGTTAGTTATAACCGTAGTTCGTTATAAGCTAATATACATAGTCGGGACCAAAAAAGTAAGTTCGTTATATCCGTCAGTTCGTTATAAGCGTGTTCGTTATAACCGTAGTTTAGTGTATGTCCATTTGACCCATTGTACAAATGGGAATTTCATATCACCTTTCAGAGATAATTTGAGAAACATATTTTATGTGCGCTTCTAACAATTTCCACTAAGTACACGTGATAAGTGAGACGCCAAACATGTTGAACGTGATGTTACACGTCACCTCTGTTTACAAATGTACACAATTTAGAAAGTTCGATGGCTCTCGAACACGAACCCTGCGCTATTCCTTTAATTGGTATAAAAACTATGATTTTAACTTGTAATGGTATAAAAACTATGATATTAACTTGTGATGGTCGCATTCATTTAGATTTGTATATTAAAAATTCATTGCCACTGGGTTGAAACTGGGTGAACACGACATGAGAATTCAAATTGTAAGGGACAGAAAACAGCTTCCAAACTATGCCCTCCTAATCTGTTACTTCTATCGGATTTTTTTAATTCATCCATTTTAAACCATTTAAAGGGTTACAGCCTCTTCTTAAGGATCCCGCCTTTAAAATCCCACATTTATTAATTGATAAAGATTTTGATAAAATTCATCAAAGGGACAAAGAATTTCAAGTTGATTTACGCCTTATTTCTCAGCGTATGAAATAGACACAGTTTATTTCGAATAATTTGATTGATGGTAATTTGATGGGCTCGTTTCCTCCCTACACTTTATATGGGGATTTAACCAATCCATCTAACGGCTAAACTTGTGGCTGGTTTATCAATATTCCTCTTAATTATGGTTCTTAATTTGTTACTTGAAGTTCGACGCTTAGTTTTTTGCCTTGCCGTTACTTACAACAGGAACCACGGCTGACGTTTTAACGGTTTGGAAAACACCCCAACCTACACCCCCTCCAAATTATCACCCACCCTCATATTTTTCATTTATAAAATCAAATATTTCCATGGATTTTTCTTTCCTGATCGTCCTAACAGTATTTCTGGTGTTAATCTTATTTTTTCGCAGTTAAAAATGTAAATCGACCTGTTACGACCTGTCATTGGTTTCACATTTGACTAATTCATTGCTTGTCAAGAAATTATGCTTTCACAACTCTACCTATACCTCCAAGACCTCAGGGGCGGTCGTGTAGCCTAGTGGTTAAAGCGTTCGCTCGTCACGCTGAAGACACGGGTTCCATTCCCGACATGTGTGAAGCACATATACGCCGTGATATTGCCATCTTCCTGAGGCAAGAGAGTTAACTGACTTTAAAAGACCAGTTTCCACCCTTGCCGAACAAGGCTGGAAGTCCTGGGCTCTATCGTAGCGCCACCAGTGGCTATTACGAGTTATGTCCCTTCTGAGCCTCTCCTTTAGACCAATCAGATTCCACCTCTCCTATCAATTGCATTTGCAAACAGTGGCGCTCAGTCAAGACGATCAGATCGATAATCAAGGTCTATGTTGTGATAAAACGGGTCTTACAACGAGTTGGCGGTGCACATGTTTTGCAAATCCTGCAACCGGATTTCGATTTCGATGCACGATTTTGATTGGACTATGCCTAGACTCGTTAGTCCAGCCAAAATTTAACTCCATAATACCAGCCTAGTTCGGCAAGGGTGGAAACTGGACTTTTTTAGTCAGTTAACTCCCTTGCCTTGGGAAGATGTGATATTGCTGGAATATTGCTAAAAGCGGCTTAAAACCACACTCACTCACTCACTCACTCACTCCAAGACCTCACGTTGGACATCCATTCACGTATTCAGCGGGTATTCCTTACCAACTACTTACTGTTTGATTGCCCAAATTTGCAAATTCAAACCTCAATGGAAAATCTATACATATTTCTAATTTTTGTTATATAAGTTGGCTTATGACGTTTTGATTAAAACGAGTCCTTTCCCCCATGGCAGGATTTTTGATGGTATTGCAACACGGTGGAGTAGGTTTTGCGATATCCCTGACATAATCCATATCGAGGACGGCGTCCTCCTCCTTTCAGGGTAAAAGCTATTTTGACCTCTCCACTTTTGCATTCTGGCGTGAGAGGATAATGGATTGTTCTTCCTGAACGTAATATCTCATGCTGTAATGGCTTTGTGTCAACAACCTCTTAAGGACCAGTCATTTGTTATCAACGCTTGAGTCCAGTGAGAGGATCAGACTTTAAAATGGTTGAGAATTTAAAATATAATATTATTCGTTAAATATTTGATGTTCCAAAGTTAATGTAATATCCTGTTCTATATCTTAACATTAAATAACATCATATTTGTTCTTCTCCTTTGCAAATACCGAATCACATGGAGAATGTTTGTTCCTCTTACTAATCACTAAAGCGCCAATACTGTATTAATTATTTTTCTGTAGAGACAATAGTTGTATACGGGGTTGGTTTCTCCTCTTATGGTTACATCACAGTTATATAAGTTGCCATACTCTACTATTGACGTTGCATATCTTCAATATTACTTGCTATCCAACGGGGCAATGGGTGGAGTGAGTGAGTTGGGTTTAACGCCGCTTTTAACAGTATTCCAGTTATATCACGGCGTGTCAGCTTGATGTGGGAGGTAAGCCCGAAGTGATGCAGGTCTCAGACGTTTACCACTTCACATAACCATAACGCACAGACACATACACTATCACATACAGAGACATACACCATCACCCACACGGACACATACACCATCACATACACAGACACATACACCATAACGCACAGACACATACCCCATAACGCACAGACACATACACCATCACATACACAGACACATACACCATAACGCACAGACACATACACTATCACATACAGAGACATACACCATCACCCACACGGACACATACACCATAACGCACAGACACATACACTATCACATACAGAGACACATACACCATAACGCACAGACACATACACCATAACGCACAGACACATACACCATCACATACACAGACACATACACCATAACGCACAGACACATACACTATCACATACACATACACCATAACGCACAGACACATACACCATAACGCTAAGACACATACACTATCACATACACATACACCATAACGCACAGACACATACACCATAACGCACAGACACATACACCATCACATACAGAGACACATACACCATAACGCACAGACACATACACTATCACATACACATACACCATAACGCACAGACACATACACCATAACGCTAAGACACATACACTATCACATACACATACACCATAACGCACAGACACATACACCATAACGCACAGACACATACACCATCACATACAGAGACACATACACCATAACGCACAGACACATACACCATCACATACACAGACACATACACCATAACGCACAGACACATACACCATAACGCACAGACACATACACTATCACCTACAGAGACATACACCATCACCCACACGGACACATACACTATAACGCACAGACACATACACCATCACATACACAGACACATACTTCCTAACGCACAGACACATACACTATCACACACAGACACATACACAATCACACACAGACACTTGCACATTCACACACAGACACATAGACCATCACTCACACAGACACATACACCATAACGCACAGACACATACACCATAACGCACAGACACATACACCATCACACACAGACACATACACAATCACACACAGACACATACACCATCACATACAGAGACACATACACCATAACGCACAGACACATACACCATAACACACAGACACATACACTATAACGCACAGACACATACACCATAACACTCAGACACATACACTATAACACACGGACACATACACCATCACACACAGAGACACATACACCATAACGCACAGACACATACACCATAACGCACAGACACATACACCATCACACACAGACACATACACCATCACACACAGACACTTGCACATTCACACACAGACACAAACACCATCACTCACACAGACACATACCATCACACACAGACACTTGCACATTCACACACAGACACATACACCATCACACATAGAGACACATACACCATCACACACGCACACACAGACATACACCATCACACACAGACACAAACAACATCACACACACAGACACACACACATCACACACAAAGACACATACACACATCATAGACAGACACAGACACAAACATCAAATACACACACAGATACACACAAAGACACGTGACAGACACATTCACACATCACAGATACACACATGACAGACACACAGAGAGGAACGCACAC